CTCCTCCCTCAGTCCCTCCCTCAGTCCCTCACTCCTTCCTGCCCTCCCTCCCTGCTTCCTTCCCTGTCTCGCTCCCTCACCCCGTCCCCTCCCTCCCAACTTTGCGAGCGGCCTGCGAGGGGTGAAGCTTGGTTCGCCTTCGCTCGATCTCCTGGCGCGGGTTGGGGGTTGGGGGGAAGGCGGAGCCGTCAGGCGCGGGCGTCCCGCCGAGGCCGCTCCTCCGCCTCCGCCGCCTCCTCCTCCTCCGCCTCCTCCTCCTCCGCCTCCCTCCCTCCCTCCCTCCCTCCCTCCCGCCCTCGCGCTCGGCCCTCGCGCCCTAGCGCCGCTAGCCGGCGGCAGCCGGGCCCACCCCGCCGGCACCAGCGCCGCCGCCGCCGCGCCCTCGCCGTCCGCGGCGCCCGGCGCTGCGGGCTTGCCTGGGCCGTGCTGGCGCCCAGGCGCCCGCAGCGAGGCCTGCGCGGCGCGCTGCCCCACGGTCGCCCCCAGGTCAGCCCGGAGCGCCCAGAGGGACAGGGCGGTGGCACGGCGCGTCCCGGGCCGGAGGCGACCGAACTCGCAGCGATCTCCCTGTGCAGCGCTGCGAGCACCTGCAAAGCCCGGGGCCCGGCGCGGCCGAAGGGGTCGAAGGCGAACGGCGTGACGGCCTCGCCGTGGTGGGAGCTTGTCCCTCTAGCCGTTGAGCGCCGCCGCGCTGGGCTGCAGGTGCGGTCGGGCGGGCTCGCGGGCAAACGAGGAGCGAACCGTGACGAGCAAGAACCTCCCGCTGGAGGCGGGCCACGCCACGACCAGGTCCACGATGCGCTCCTCGACCGCCCCGTTCTCCTTCTGCACGTGGTGCTCCGGAATGCAGCTTTCCGCATCGACGAAGGCGCCCGTGCGCTCGACGTGCCTGCGGATGATCGCCGCGACAGCGCTGTGGCCTCGAAGGCGCCCCGTGCGTCCTTTGGGACAGACTCCGGGATGATGTAGATGATCGTCGAGTGGGTCACCACACGGGTCGTCATCACCGGAGCTGCGCAAGGAACGCGGAAGGCCTCGCTGAGGCGGGGCAGCCAAGCCGAGACGACTACTGCGCGTCGCAAACGCCCACTGCGCGCTGGGTGCCCGCAGGGGCGGGCGCGCAGGCGCAGTGCTCCAGAATCCGACCAGCCATAACTGGGGGAGCTGTGGTCCTTACCCCCCTGGGGGAACCCATCGGATCGACGATCTCTCGGGAGGGGTGTCGAAATCGATGGGCCCCCCAGGGGGGTAAGGACCACAGCTCCCCCCGTTGTGGCTGGCCTGAGAGTGTGCCTGTGCCCTCACCACCCGAGGACAGGATGCAGATCTGGCGATGCTCTGGCATGGCCGCGTGGAGCTCCGTGGCCCTCCGCGCGTCGATGCCACGGACGACTCGCGCGTGCTCGCGCGGGCGGGCCTGCGCCCCGGCAGCCGTCTCCGGCGGGAAGCGAGACCTTGGATGTGCTCGGTGCGAGCCGGTGGCCGTGATCGGCGAGCACCCGCTCCACTGGCGCCCGCTCAGGAACTGAGAGCGCCCGCCTGGCCGACGAGGCACGCGTCGTCCGCCACTCCGACGCGGGCGAGGCGGAGAGCCGGCAGGTCGGAGAACGCCCCCTCCAGGTCCAAGGCGAACAGCACTTGCGCAGGACGCGAACCCTGGAAACTACCCCTCGAGGAGTCGTCGGACGCCCAAGCGCCTCCAGATATGCGCTGCCAGATCCGCACGCGACCATGTCTCCACTGCACAGTCGCCAGGGCAGCAACGCGCGGCGACTGAGCAGAAGCAGAGCGCAAAGCAGTCGATCGGAAAAGAACCTGCCCTAAGCGTCATCCAGGTCCAGCTCGGCCAAGGCGTCCGCATTCAGGCCGATCCGCTGCGCCTCTGCCGGAAACATGCCCTGCGCATCCTCCTCTGCGCGGCAGGTGTCCTCGAGCCATGCCCGCATGAGCTTCACGACGCGAACCGAGCCGTCTGGCGTAACCACCCCAAGCTGGTGAGGCTCCAGCTTAGCACGGAGCTCCTCCAAGACTTCGCCAATCAGTGCGGTTACCACGAGCTTCACGAGGACCTCGGTCTGCGCAAGGGGGCGAAGCTTGCGGTCAGGTGCAAGGTTCGCATCGCTCGGCGTACACTCGCCGCAGTCCGCGGGCTCCAGGAGCGCCGAGTGCCACAGGCGATGGTCCTCCTCCTCCCAGGCTCCTCGCACCTCCAGCTGGGCAAAGCAGAGCATAGCATCCACGCCTCTTGGGAGCGCCGCTAAGGCAGCGACGAAGGCATTCCGGATCGCGGACGGGCCTGGCGCTGCGCCCCCTCGGAAAGACGGGCCGAAAATAGAGGCAGAAAATCCACCCCGATAATAACCACCCCGACACGCGAGGCCTTTAGTAAACGCGCCCAAAGAAGGAATCGAACAGGGCAGGGCTGTTTAGTAAACGCCCAAGGCCGCTTAGTAAACGCCAATTTGCCCGGTCCGGGTGGTTTTTCCTCCCTTGACAAAATGCGGCGCCGCGTGTTAACCTTTCTGGGCGCTCTCGCTTTCACCACTTTCTCCGCCAAGGCGGCGACCTGCTCTCCCGGCGCTGCCGCTTCTCCTTCTGGGACCTCAGCGGCAGCCGGCCGCGGCATTTCACGCCGCCTGACCTCGCCGCGTGGCGCCCACTGCTGCCCAGTGGCCTCCCGACGCGCACGGGCCACGCGGTCGTCGTGCACGGATTTCACAGCTCGGCGCCAGCCGTCGAGTGTGTCAGCCTGGACCTGTGCCTCGCGTCCGCCACTGGCCTGTTGCACCGCGGTCCGCTCCTCGAGATACTCCTCCAAAGGCTCCCGCAAGTGGCGGTCGCCTCCGACCTCGGCTCGCTTCAACCTGTTCCCTAGGATCGTTTTCAGAGGCACGCATCCGTGCTGCTCCTCGTCGTCGTCGCGACGCGGGAGGCGCCTCAGCAAGAGGCCAGGCACAAATACGCCCAGAGCGATGCCATACGGCGCTCGCTCAGCGTCGCGGCCGCATTCGTGTAGGCCACGCGGAGCGCAACCAAGCGCTGCCGCCAGGCCTCCATAGCGCGCCATCGCCTGCGGCGGCGGGTCGAGCATGGTGAGCAGCATGGGTTCCGCCACGACCTGCTCGAGCAGCTCCCAGATGGTGGACCCCTGCGCCTCCTCCTCCTCCTCCTCCTCCTCCTCCTCCTCCTCCTCCTCCTCCTCCTCGGCCTCCTCCTCCTCCTTCTCCGCCACCTCCCTGGCACCGGCGCGGACTCACCCTCAGGCAGGGCGACTCGAACCTCAGCCGAGGCGCCCGGGTAGCTCGCATGACGTGGCGGGGCCTCGCCGCCGGGAACGCGCGAAACACTACATGCAAGGATCCAGCTAAGCAGCTATCCCGACGGCCAGGCTTGCATTGGGCACAGAAGCATGCCTGGCAGTGTAAGCAGGCCCACACAGTGGAGCCGCCTGCCTGGATCCTTTCGCACCGGCGGCGCCCGGATGGCGCACTCAAGCGCGTGCGGCGGAGGTTGCACTGCACTTCGACTCTGGCGGCAACCTGCAGCGGAAGCACCGCCGATGCGTCCTCCTGCACCTCCAGCTGCTGATCCTCAAGCTCGGACTCCAGCCTGCGGCGTCCACCAAGCACCACCTCAACGCCAGCCACATCGCCGCCTCCCGCCAGCGTGCCAACGCCTTGTACTGCAGTCCCCGCTCGTACACCTCCTCCTCTGCCTCCTCCACCACCTCCTCCTCCTCTGCCTCCTCTGCCTCCTCTGGGGGCAGCCGGCGCGCTGCCTGAGCCGGAAGGCCCTTCCCTCCCCGCACTGGCCTGGGTATCCAGCTCTTCTGCCTCCGGCACAGTCCCAGCCTCGACAGAAGCACCACACGACTCTGCGCCTGGCGCGGCCTGGCGCCCTCCCTCTCTCCCTCCCTCCCTCCCTCTCCCTCCACCTCCTCCTCCTCCTCCTCCGCCTCCTCCTCGGCTTCTCTGCCTCCCTCGCTCCGCCTTTCCGGGCGAAGGCCGCGGGGTGCCCAGGACGGCGGGAGGAGGAGAAGGAGGAGGAGGAGGAGGAGGAGGAGAAGCGAGGAGGAGCGAGGAGGGAGGAGGTGCCGTCTTGGGTGCTCGTGCCAAGAGGACGCGTCCCCACGCCTGTCACAACAGTCTGCTGCACCTGCTTGGGGTGGAGGAGGGATTGCCGGGAGGAGGAGGAGGAGGATCTCCGGGCTTCATCGAGATGGCCGGGCTTGGCCAGGGACGCTCTCGCAAGCACAACGGCCACACGTGCGTGCAGCACCTCGGCGCAGCGGCGCCGCTTGGACGGCGGGGCCAGAGGGGTGGAGCGCCTCAGACGAAGTCGGGGACAGCCGAAGCAGGGCCAGAAAGAGAGAGAGAGAGAGTGAGTCAAGGGCACGAGCCCCTTTGCCGAAGGCCCACTGCCGCATGGGGATCCCAAAAGGAAGAGCGATCCAAGTTGGGGCGCCCATACACGAAGACCATACTGGTATGGGTACCGAGGCAAAGCCTGGGGCGTTCGTAACCCTCGTGCCAAAGGCGGGGTGTGGTCAAGCAGTACCCTGGTTGGACGGCTGGGCCGTCTCGGCCCTGCACGGGTTCTCGTCCCCCCGACGCGGTTTTGGAGTTCTCCACGAGCCTTGAGCGCGAGGGGCGGAGGAGGAGTCAGATTTGAGACCTGCGGGGACCAGTCGTCTTCGTCTCCGCGGGGAGGGGGCGTGCCCCATTCAGCCATACAATCATACGGCCTGCCGTGGTACGGCCACATTCGCCGCGGCCGCGACGCAGAGGCTTGGACGACGCGCGTCCCTGGCGCGTCCTCGACTACCACGTGGACCACGCCATGGCTGAGCTTGCACCGCCTAATTGCATCTGGCGAGTCTGGGACCCCAGCGAGTCTGGGGCAGACCCCAGCCGCGGTGGGAAGAGGCCCTGGCTGAGGCAAGAAAGGTAGCAGCTAGCGCTCCGCAGGTGAGCGGCGTCCAACGTAGAGGCGCGCAGCACATAGTGGAGGGCTGAACTGGGGCTGCGAAGCCGCCCGAAAAAAGTCATACAGCCTCCTCCTCCTCCTCCTTCCTCCTCCTCCTCCTCCTCCTCCTCCACCTCCCTCCCTCCCTCCCTCCCTCCCTCCCTCCTTCCCCGTCCCTCCCTCCCTCCAGCCTCCCTCGTTCCTGTCCTCCCTCCCCCCAACTTGTCCTCCCTCTCCCTCCCTCATCCTCGCCTCTGGCGGAGCGCCCAGCTGGAGCGCGGCGAGCAAGCGTCGGGAGCTCCTGCTGGACCTCGGTGAGGTTGTACTGCACCTGCCCGCGCTGCCCCCGGACCCCAAGAAGTCTGGACCCCTTCTAGGCGGCGCGCCCCGGGGGGGAAGTGAGAGGGAGCGGGCCTTCTCAGAAGGCTCGGAAGTTCCCCGGCCTTCTCAAAGCTTTCCAAGCCTTCCCCGAAGACACAAAAATACTTCCCAGAAGGCCAGAGGGCTTCTGAGAAGTCCCGCCGCCTTCTGAGAAGGCCCTCTCGTTCTCACTTCCCCTCGCTCTCCGCCGACCTTCCCCGTGACTGGCGTTCTGGCCTGGACGGCCTCTTGACGGCCCCCCCGGGGCCAGCAAGGGCCCCCCCCCCAGAGGCCACGGATGGCCAGAAGTCTCCCGTCCCGACTTGTCCGCACAGAGGGTGGAGCGGGGAGGGGTGGATGGGGCCCTCTCCTCCTCCTCCGCCCTCCCTTCCCTCGGCGGCGAGCGAGGGAGGGAAGTGAGAACGAGAAGGCCTTCTCAGAAGGCGGCGGGACTTCTCAGAAGCCCTCTGGACTTCTGAAGAGCTCGGCTGCGTCTTCGGGGAAGGCTTGGAAAACTTCGAGAAAGGCCGGGGAACTTCCGAGCCTCCTGAGGAGGCTCGCCCCCTCCCACCTCCCCCCCTCGCTCGCTGCCGATGGCCCTCCCCCCTCCCCCCACTCCCCCTTGCTACTGTGCAGGAGGGAGGGGGGGGGGGGAACTCGGAGGGGCGCCGCGGGGCGCAGGGCGAGGGGCGGGGGCCGACCCGGGAGGGCTCCCACGGGAGGCACCCCGCGCCGCGGCCCGATCTGCCGCGGGAGCCTGGCCGCGGGAGCGCTCCCGGAGGCATCCCCGGCGGGGCCCGACGCCGGACGAGCACGACGTCGAAAGCACGGCGGCGGCAGCACGACGAAGGCGCGACGGCCGACGCCCGACGACGCCCGGCGCCCGACCGCGGCGGCGACGCCAGACCACCACCCCTGTGACTACCTACCAGACCACCCCAACCCAACCCGAAGACCCGAATTTCGGGTTGGGGGGGGTAAGGGTTCCACACATGTGTTTGTTCGATGTTTCCCGACACCCCCCCCCACTGGAAATCGAGGGTAAATCTGAGCCTTCGGGTTGGGTTGGGGTGGTTTGGTGGGTGGTGACCCTGGGCCTCCACCTTCCCAAACTGTCCGCATGGACGAAGAAGCATTCAAAGCGTGTCCGCAGAGGTCCGTGTCCGCCCCCTCCTGTGCCACGTTCTGCCTCGTCGTGTCCTTCGGATGCCCATCGCGTCCCATGTGGTTCCTCTTCTGCAGTCGTCGCTCGTTTGCTTGTGCTGCTGGTTGCTTGGCGGCCCCGACCGCGGCCGCGACGATGCCCGGCGGCGACGGCGCCCGCGCACGCGGGGGCGGCGCGAGCGGGCACGGCCGTCCGAGAAGGCGCGGGGGTCCTTTTCCCAACCATCCTGTGGTGTTGGGCCCTCGTTTTGAAGAGGTAGCGCCTCGCGTTCCTCTCCTCTCCTCTCCTCCTCCTCCTCCTCCTCCTCCTCCTCCTCCTCCTCCTCCTCCTCCTCCTCCTCCTCCTCCTCCTCCTCCTCCTCCTCCTCCTCCGCCACTGTGCCTCCGCCTCTGTGCCTCCGCCCTCCGCATGTCTCGTCTCCGTTTCGGCACGCCACTCACACGCTTCGTGGCGCCATAGGGAGCTCCACCGAAGGCCCCAGTGGCAGGGTTCGGGGGGCTTCTGAGAGGCATGCCCAGCTTCCAAAAGAAGCCTTCGCGGGGAGCCTCGGTCGGCTGCAAGCAAAGAGAAGCCCTGGGCAAGAGTGGCCCCTATTTTGCGCGGATCAGGGGGGCGCGAGGTGGCCAAATCCAAGCGCGCAAGCAGCCGCTGTCGCATCGCGCTCAGCGATCGGGGGGACCCCGATGGACCCGCACCAACGGTCACTCCGGCGAAGGGTCACTCCTACGTGTAGTCGACTCTGGACCCCTCTACGAAGGCCCCGGCCTTCAAAGCCCCCCCGCCTTCTTGGAAGGCCTCACATCTCGAGCCGCCTCCTTGTGCGCGTCGCAAAAAGCCCAGGCGCTAAACCGCACCAAAGCAGAGCCTCGCAATCCGTTTCGGATGCCTCGCTCCTCAACCCCAGAAGACGTCTCTCCATGTTGGAGGTTCGGAGGTTCCGGGGTGTGGCTTGTGAGCCTCACGGGCTCACGGGGCCCAGAACGATCGACAACCCGTAGGATCTTCCGGTTTTCCGCCTCAGAGGGTACGCCTGGCCAGGCGCCAGTCGACCCCAGGACACCCCAACAGAACTCAAGACGCCCCACGAGAACCCCGAGATGGCCCAGAGACTCCAAGAGGCCTCAGGAGACCCCGAGAGACCCAGGAGACTCCAAGACGCCCCAGGAGAAGCCAAGAGAGCCCAAGAGACCCCGAGAGACCCCAGGAGATTCCAGGAGGTCTCGAGAGATGCCCGAGAAGCGACGAGAGCAAGAATGCGCGATAGGGGGTTAGTAGGAACTGCTGCAAAAACTTTCAAACGAGTGACCAGCAAGTTCCGAGTCATGTTCTGAAAAAGTTCTTACAGGAAACCGTGGGGTGCTCAAAAGGTCGTACACATGTGTAACGAGAACATTCGAATGATTTCTGGGTACATGGACAAACAGGTGACCAAAGAAGTACAATGCAGTTCAGCGCAAAATGAACACATCGTTCGAATCAAATGCACATCATGTGTCAGCATTGGTGCTGGAACGAAGTTCACATGATCAGAACATGATATTCGAACAATAACGTTCAAACTATGTCACTGTGATGTCTGATATGAACGTTCCAAATGACGTCCGACGTGGATGCAGAGGATTGAGATTGTAAAGGCAATAAACAGCTGACTCATTCGGTGCGAACTGCCTGGTTCGATCGATCGGGGTTCGAAACTTCCCCGTCAACCCTGACACAAGCGGAGACAAACAGAAAGATAGAGAGAGAGAGAGAAAGCGACACGCACACACGCGCTGATGCTCGTAGGCCCGTCGCCCGTGCGAGGCCAGAACTTGTACACATCCACCGCCCGGGGGGACCAGTGTCCCAAGACCCAAGACCCCAAAGGGGCAAAGGTAAGGGAACGAAAAACTACATGAGCATAAAAATTCGGAGGTCCGCGCGGATTTTTTCGATCGGCACTGGGGCCCCCTGGCGGCGCCTCCGGCGCCGCCCCTGGCGCGCTCCGCGCGCCAGGGAGGGGGGTCGAGCGCCGATCCGAGAAATCCGCGCGGACCTCCGAGTTCGTATGTTTATGTCGTTGCTCGTTCCCCTAAAAAAGGGCGTGGGCACGTGCCTGCGTCCACCGCTGGGGCCCGGGAAGATCGGCGCCCCGGGCCCCGAGGCACGTGCCCGGAGCCCCGCCCGCCGCCGCCGCCTTCAGCTTCTTGGTGCCGATCGCCCGGATCTCGTTGACGCCGTAGGCCACGGCGTGCTCCCTGGCCCGGAGGGAGGAGAAGAGAGGGCGGCCGCGGCAGAAGGGCGCGGGACCCGGGGGCACTCTCGCGCGGCGGGGCCGCGGGGAGCGCGCGGGTGGGGCCAGAGGAGGGGGAGGAGGAGGAGGAGGAGGAGGAGGAGGAGGAGGAGGAGGAGGAGGAGGAGGAGGAGGAGGAGGAGGAGGAGGGAGGAGGAGGAGGAGGAGGAGGAGGAGGAGGAGGAGGAGGAGGAGGGGGAGGAGGAAGAGGAGGAAGAGGAGGAAGAGGAGGCGGAGGACGGTTGCCACCCGCGCGAGCGGCGTGCCTCTGCCGCGCCGGGACGCACAGAAAGCGTTCCCTGGCCCCCCGCGCCCGGCGGCCCCAGTGCTCCCCGAACTCAGGGGGGAGGGAGAGGCCGCCGCCGCTGCTCCGCAGGGGAGAAGGAGGGAGGACGAACTGGGGAAGCAGGCGGGGCGAGGCGAAGAGGAGGAGGAGGAGGAGGAGGGAGGGAGGGAGGGAGTGAGGGAGGGAGGAAGGGAGGGAGGGAGGGAGGAAGTGAGGGAGAAGGAGGAGGAGGAGGAGGAGGAGGAGGAGGAGGAGAAAAAGGGAGGAGGAGGAGGAGGAGGAGGGAGACGACGAGGAGGAGGAGGCTCGGGAGCTCCACGAGAGGCCCGGGAGTGAAAAAGAACAGGGAGAGGAGAAAGACAGAGGATTAGGAGCAGGGAGGAGGGAGTACGGAGGAGGGAGGAGGAAGGAGGGAGGGAGGGAGGAGGAAGATGATCATGTTTACATCAATGGCCAGGATGATTCTCGCAGTGGTGCAGCACTCGCTCGAGCAGCAGAAGATCGGCACCGCGCGAGCCAGCTAAGGGGGAGCTAGCTCGCCAAAACAAATAGCCTTGCCACTAACCGTCAATAACTGCGACCTGGCGGTTGAGGCGGTTTTCACTTCACGAATATTCACTTCCACCTAAACTGCTGTCGACACAATCTGACCAGAGACAGAAGAGGCGAGGAGAACAGGGTTCTGCAACTTGGGTCCACAGTTATCCTCCTGGCGCTTGGCCTTCCAGGATTTGGCACTGTTTCCTGGAAAATAAAAACACATGTCGCATTGTTTCATTGCGCGCACAGAAGTTTGATGATATTATGCTTCTCGCTTCAACATGTTATCGACGTTTGCTTTCGCCACGGCATCCCAAATTTGCAATACACTTTCTTCGTGACGCGTGCCCTGCGCAACAGATTCTGCATCTGTGGTTGTCTCCACAGCCATGACGATCTGGGGTTCTCGACAGAAACCACAACTCCATGCCTGATACAAGTTCGTACAAGTCTGTGGCTTTGAGGAGCGCGCTGCCGACGCGCACTTTTCCAGCATGAAGAGGAGGAAGGTTAGGAAGGCCATTGGGGAACTGACGCGATCGCAGGGGACCGCCAGGAGATCCCGATTTGCCTCGCCGCGCTCCTGAAAAACTGGCGCATGGCGTGCCAAGATGGACGTAGCGCGCGACGGGCACCAGACTGAGCACGGCACGCATCACTCTCTCCCGGGTCAAATCCTGCTCAGGCGAGTCACGCAGCTCCCAGGCCCTGGCCTGCCAGCCTAGCCTCAGCAACGCCTTGGACAGGCCCTTGGCGCCCGCGAGCAGCTCGAGGCACAGCGGCTGGGCTACGCCAGCCCGGTCTCCTGGCGCCGGCGCGCGAAACCGCCCACCGTCCGTTTGGACAGCGCCACCTCCAGCTGAGCGTCGGCCTCGGCCAGCAGCAACTGCTTCCCGCGGTCGATCGTTGCAAGGCGTCTCATCACTCGGGAGCCCTTCTCATAGCGGAGCACGCTGAGATCTGACACCCAGCGCCCTCGCCGCTTGATGGATTCCAGCGTCCTCGTCTTGGTCAGCCAATCGTGCGAAGGCCCCGAGTGGCGCAGGATGCACGGCGTCAAAACCAAGCTTGGCCGCCGCCTCCTTGAACATGGCATTGAAAGCCGCGCCCGACCACGGAAACAGGCGCTGCACTGGCTGGAGGCCGCGCGCGAGCTCTTCCACCAACGGCCCCAAGTACAACCTTGACGGGCTGTCCAGCAAGATGGAGTCGTTGAAGCCCTTGGCCATTGCGGCCACGCAGCGTGGAGGAGAGCGTGGCTCACGCATTGTAGCCACGCGTTGTGGCCACGCACGCGGCTGGAGGAGGAGAGCGTGGCCCACGCTCTCCTCCTCCAGCCGCAGCACCAGCGACGTGCACCTGTAGTCGCCCCCCGCCGCTGGCTGCGCGGGCACCGCGCGGTGCGCTCGGAGCGCCCGACCGCGGGCAGGCGCCCGCCGCGAGCACCGCGCCGAGCGCGGCCCGCCGCTGGTTCAGGCACGCCAGTGCCACCGCGATCGCCGCCACGGCCGCACACGGCGCCGGCGCCCGCGTCACAAGCGGCATCGGCCGCCGCCAGCCCTGCAGCGCCCGCGCCACGCGTGGCAGCTTCAGCATGCGCCCCGCATGGTGTAGCCGAGGATCTCGATGCCCTATGGCTGCCAGCAGCTTGGCCCCGCTGTTCGACGGTTCCTGGCGCGCGAACAGCAGCAGCAGCCGCCTTCTCAGCAGGCGAGTCGAACCATCGGCCAGGTTCATCCGACGGGTTCAACGCTAGCGACCCATCGCACACTGGCGCGGGATAAAGTGGCCAAGGACAGCGCGGCCCACTTTCTGAGCAAGACGAGTACAGGCGGTGCTACTGCACGACCCTTCTCCAAACTTCAGACCATACACAGGCTGCAGCACAGAAACAGAAGATTGAGATGAATAACCTCCTTCCTGTGATACCTCCTCGCTTGCATTGTCCCCCACCTCGCCTCCTCGACAAACGACATGGGGAGCTTGGGAAGGTGATGGCTGATGGTGATCTGCACGTCAACGTCTTCCTGGGATCCCAAGAGCTCCACCAGCCTTTCGAGGTCATCTGATCCAGGATGCGCATGGTGAAGAACGTGTCCCAGATCAGGCAGCCTTCCAGGGTCCTCTGATTCATGATGAGCATGATTTAGCACGGGTTCTGAGCTGGGCAACCTCCGAAGGTCCTCCGAATCACGCTGGTCAAGATGACAGGCTAACACCGGATTGGGCTCACAGCCATGACATGCCAACTCCTGAGGCGCAGGACGAGGGAGGTGAGCGGAGGGTTCTGTCTCTCAGCCGTCGACGTCACCCTCCAGCGCCAGCTCCCGCGGGCGCCGAGCCTGCTCCATGCGAAACCGCCAGCGCTCACACGAGCGGCCCACGTCTCGCACCGCTTGGGGGTCCATGCTGGCCCCCTGCACTGCACAGCCGTTGAGCGTCGCATCTGAACACGCTCCAGCGCTCCCAGGGCGGCCACAGGGAGCGCTCCCAGGGCGCTCCAAATGCGCACCCAGAGCGCCCCATATGGCACCCTGAAGGGCGCTCCCAATGCACCCCAAGGAGCGGCCCCAGTGTGCCCCCAGCGCCCCCCCCCGCGCGATCCCAATGCACCCCAGGGAGCGCTCCCAGTACGCACCCAGCGCCTCCCCCAACGCGATCCAAATGCTCTCCAGGGAGCGTGCCCAGAGCGCACAGGGAGCGTCCCCAGAAAGCTCGCAGGGAGCGAGCCCAGTGCGCCAACAAGGGTAGAATGGCATGCGCCTTTTCCTCCCCCTGTTGCGCCCTCCCTCCCCCGCCCAAGTGCGCCGTTGGTTACGCATCTTCCCTCTGCCCTGTTGCGCCCACCCACCCCCCGGCGCTCCCGCTCGAGCGTTGTGCGGTTGCATTCGCGACCCCTCCCCACAACTCCTCCCTGGGTACCAGAGTCCCGTCCTCGACAACAACAGCAGCAGCAGCAACAACGACAGCAACAACAGCAACAACAACAATCAATTTAGGATTGTTCGCTCATATTTGCTCACGTGCCAATCTATTCGTATATCCCAAACCCTCGGTACCCGACCTTGTCGTCTTCGATCGTACCCCCTTGGGGGTATATCTTCCTTACCTGCCACGTGTATTTAATGCAGCCCCTAAAACAAGGGAAAGAAGGACGGGTGGAAGGGGGAGGAAGAAGAATGGAGCGCGAGAGAAATTAGCGGGAGGGGGGGCAAGGAGCAGAAAACAAGTGGTAGAACCAGACGGGCAGATCGGGTAGGCAGACACATAACAGGCAGGTCGGGAAGGCGGGCCCAGGCGACGAGGTCGAGCAGGCGGGTTGTTGAAGCGTGGGTCCTGCATGAATCTCGAAGAAGTCTCGAGCGATAGCGCGACCCTCCTAGTAAATCGTGGGAAAAGCCAGCGTGGGCCACGAAGGGCATAAAATCTGAGGGCAGCGACGGGGCCGCTGAGGGCAGCACAAGACCACGAAGGGCAGCGAGGGGGCCACAAAGGGCGACAGCAGGGACACGAAGGGCATGCATATGGGGCCACGACGGGCGCGAGCGAGCGGGGGCCACGAAGGGCGTTCGCATACGGGGTCACAAAGGGCGACAGCGGGGCAACTAAGGGCAGCAAAAGGGCCACGAAAGGCAGCGAGGGGGCCACGAAAGGCGATAGCGGGGCTACGAAAGGCATGCGTATGGGGCCACGACGGGCGCGTGCGAGCGACGGCCACGAAGGGCATAGAATGCGGGCCACAAAGGGCAGCGACGGGGCCACTGAGGGCAGCAACGGGACCACGAAAGGCAGCGAGCGAAGGCGACCGCAGAACCAGTACGGGCAGCGAGGGGCATCGAAGGCGGGCGAAGGACAGCGAGCGGCGACTGTAGTCAATAACGGGCTGGTCGGGCGGGCAGGCCCCGACGGGCGGGTCGAGCGGGCGGGTCGTTGAAGCGTGAACTCTGCTTGAACCGCCAAGCATGAGTGTCGAGGACCGGCATCTGAATGTCGAGGACCGGCATCTGAATAAATTGTGAAGAAATATCAAGCGAACCGGTTCGGTGATAAGTTGCACGGAAGTCCCAACCGAGAACACGATTCTGCACTAAATTGTCGGAAATATCCGGCGGGAGCCGCGATTCGTTGGTAAATTGCCA